TTTACATCAGTTAATATATCCAGCATAATTTCTTTGTCAAGTTTAAGATACATGATGAAAATGATGATTAATGAGGAAAAATATAATGATCATAGCAATAACATAAAAATGTATCTATTATTAATCAGGAAATTGTATTCTGAAGTGAGGAACATGTTCAGGCTAGTGGTTATCTATTGTTCTGAAGAGAACATAAACTATTTTATGATAAAAACATATTACCATATTGTAATTTAATAACAAAAGATATATTTAGTAAGGTATTCTTTTAAATAAATAGTCATAATTTGTGTATCTGTTTGTCTGATGAAACCCGGAAATACCCCAGCAAATGAATTGTCGAGTAGTACATTTTGGTCAAACTGTTGGTTAACATATATGTTGGGTTTCAGTTGACTTAAAGGCTTATTTTAGGGTTATGCTGTGCTTAGTGTTAATGACAAAAATATTTGATATAATGATTATTATGTCTTACGTTATGATGATTGCTTTAAGTTTAAATATACTTCAGTCAATATTGAAAAGAATGTTACACATTTATAATAGAAGATTCGGTGGTGGTTCCATATAGGTAAACACATTGCAGTTATTAAAGAATCGCCCAGTTTCGGATACGGCACCCCCCAAAACCCATTTTAAAACACAACCCGACAAATGAATACCAGTAGGCCTATATGTCACGGTTGCGATAAAAACTTCAGACACGTCTCCAAATAAAATGTCTTAAAATTCGGATATAACCATTAAAAATGTTATCTTTTTAAAAAACTGCAAACATAAAATCATTTCATCCCAAGAAATAATGCCAAAGCAAATTCAGAAAAAAAATATGCGACCACGTCTTAATAAAATCTATAGTGTGTTTTTCATTAATGGATCCGCCACTGGCTGTGTTCACTGCTTTCCTGATTACTTCTTTGAATAGTTTAGTTCCTTAAAACAGTTGCAGTGCTGTGTGCCGGTATCAATGTATGGATGTATCAATAAAATAAAATTACCATATTCAGTAGATGGTCTCTAATTATTTTTAAGAATGAATATTAATTGAATTTCACACACTATCAGTTTTTGTGGGATAAATATCTATGGTTTGTCAATGTTGTGCATGTTGTTGAGGTGTTTGTCCCATAACTTGACGCAGGGTTCTCGGAATGCCGCCCTCAGCGGCGTGTGCGAAGCACAACTCAAGAGTCAGAAGTAGAACGTGAATTTCCGATATGGTTTCGTAGCATAGAGCTATTAAACATTATATTATCTCTATGTTTCGTAGTCAGATTTTCGAGAAAAACTTCAGCTACCCGTATTTCTCGACTGAGACGTCAATTGGAGCTGTAATTTGTATGGCAAGGAGATGGTCACTACCCTTAATTCGTATTAAGGGAATTTACGCCCACAAACCTTGTAGTTATTAATATTTTGGTTATAATAGATAATTTTTATTTTTTGGTGACGTCACACACACGCTATAGCTAGCGTGCATACGTTATTAGCTAGATTACGTCACCTTTTCCTGGTAAGGCAAACTTTCCCGGCGTGCTTTTTTCATGGATAAACAAACACCACTGCTTTGCACATGAATGCCTTGCCTAGCTAGGGCTACAAGAGCCGTATAGTTAGCATATATATATTACTTCAACAAGGTACGTCTGCAACTGAATTTTTCTTAGGCCCTAGTTAATTTTTTTCTTATTTTAATTTCTTTCGAAAGTGTACTTTCTATCACATATAATTGCACTCTACTTAGGCCTAGTCATATTATGCTTCATCGTCCCCAGCTATACACAATACATCTGTAGCCCCCACCCCCCATGCTACTACAGTATAGACGTTTGCTAGGCAACAGAACGTGATTGCACATTTCTTCCCAGGTGTTTATGTAAATTTGCATATTGTTAGCTAACCAGCTGAGTTTATTCCTTTGTGAAAATGAGTACCGCGGCGTACTCATTTTCACAAAGCATCTGCATCTCCTCTTGGAAACAGGGAACTTCGAAATAATTGTCTCTATATCTTCGCTAATTAATCACCGTATTTTAGCTTACACTTATGCATGGAGGGAGCACTTAAAATGTACAATAATCATTTCACTACCCGACAAACCCCGAACTTTATTCATGTATTACATAAATATTCATCTTGCTTCTGTACTCCAACATCACTGGCGCATGTGTAACAACCAACTGGCAGACCATTTCCGGTCACACATTACTCCCCATAACGCAGCACCCCCTAGTTCCGTGACGTCCTCTGGGTGTGCACAAATATTTGTATTAAAGAATTGATCTTGGCAAAGTTAATGCTAACTAAAACATATTAGACTGGGGTAAAAAAAATAAGAATAAGAAAAAAAAAATAAGAAAATAAGAATTAAAATTTCATTAAATTTCATTTATTTTGCCTTTGTCTCGATTTATACAAAAAAAATAAAAGTATATTAAAATATTTGTTTCATGTCAGGCGCGTAACAGGGGTGTTGGGTCGTGGGGGGGGGGCAAAGGTAATCATTTTCCCGGTTAATAATTTATCATACCCACCCCACCCCCACCCTCCCCATATAGAAAACAATACGACATAGGGCTTATCTTATTTATAATATAGGCCACACACGTGTGTTTGAAACTAAATATAAACATTTTCATCAAGGTTTTATTTATTACAAACATATTCTTTCACCATCAATACACATTGAGGCCCTTCTTTTAGGTTAAAACGATCTATCTTTTCTTTCTTGAGTTTGGGACTATTATGTGTTTAAATAACTTAAAAGGATAACCCTAAAAAAACATAAGTAAATGCGCGCGAAGCGCGGAAAAAGTTTTTGTGTTTTTAATTCTAATTTCGTCGGAATTGATCCCAAATCCCTTAAATGTGCAATTTTTAGAGGAAATTGGCCTACTGTGACAAGAAATGCGCGCGAAGCCCGCGAAACGGTTAGCAGGATCCGGATCCTGCTAACCGTTAGCTGCCGTGCGTCCATACGAGAAAATCCCGATCCGCATACCAAAAATATGATGATCGAATCACTGGCCAATAAGAAACTGGAAATTGTAAACGACAACTAACTACAGTAAATTGTAGTTAGCGCTAACGGTTAGTCCCGATCCGGATACTAGGGCTCTCGTGAGAACCAGGCTATACAGTGCTAGGTGAAATGAATATTCAATTTCTATTGCTACTTAATTATTCATGAACCTGCAGTAGTGTCGCCCATATAACGCTTACACTCTAGTGCTGACAAGAGTTCCTATAGTGCTGCTGACCAGGTGCTGACCAGAGCCGTAGATCTATCTACGGCTCTGGTGCTGACTGCGTTACAGCGCCACCAATCGTCACTGCCTCAAACGTCCAGGGAAAAAAATTCGCCCCCGGGAAAATGTTGATTCTAAATGACGGGAAATGAGCTTTCCAGACTTCAGAATTGTCTTTTAATGACTTTTAAGTTCTTCAAAATTCAAGGTTTTCCTCCTTGAAAACGGTCAGGAATAAAGATAAAAATATAAATTAAAAATTTAAAAACAGAACACCTAAATTCCAGAAATTCACAACACAAAAAAAAAAAAAAAAAAAAAAAAAAAAAAAAAAAAAAATAAAAAAAAAACAATGGATAAAAAGCACAACACCAGACAAATAAAAAAAAATTAAAATGATAAAAATGGAAGAAATAAAAAAGGCATATAAAAAACACATTAATTAAAAATTTAATTTAAAAGGTGGGTCTAGAATTCTTTTTATTATTTTTTTAATTTCTTTTTTGCCGAAGGGAGAGGGGTCAGGACTCCTGATCCCCAGATCAGCCACTGTGAATTGCGAGAAAATCTAACTCGGTCGGGGACTGGATAAACACTCTCTTTCCCCTCCTTCTCCTTCCCTCTTTCTTTTCTTGCATTTTTTCCCCGATCATACAACAATCTCCAAAGACATATTTTGTGCCAAAAAAGTGGGGGTCCAGGCCCCCACCCCTGGTTCGTAGGTAAAGTATCTTGCCTTAAGGACACAAGGAAAGCGACGAGCATTGGTCTCTGAACTCCTGCGATCAGGAGTCAATAGTATATTGATCCTGGGCGGATGCGGTGGAGGAAGGAGGAAAGGGGGAGGGGGTCCAGACGAACATAGTACCGGTAAGATTTTTAAAGTATAAGAGTGTAATTTCCAAACACTTTGAGGTCCATATTCTCTAACATTTTCGCACCCCAGACCCCTCCCAAAAACATCGTAAGGCTGAGGTGGTGTGGATTCGCACGCATCCTCTTCCGCCAAATGCTGCATTCGCTAGAAGGCGATACTTTAGTACAGACAGTCCTTAATCTTTCATATGTTCAACTATTTCAAAAAATAAGAAAAAAATAAACTTAGTTTTTAGTAGGCATATTATCGTCTTCTAGAGGTTTTAATAAAAAGTCTTTGCATAACGTTGTTCCAATTTTTTAAGCTTTAAAATTACTACGGGTTTCCATTAGTCTGGATATGTTTACTGAGCAGATGTCATTGGGAAAACTGAGCCTGAAAATGCAGGCTAGGCAGACCTTTAAAGTACAAAACAGTTAAAACACACTGTACAGTTCCCACTCGTAAATATAACTAATAAAATTAAATGTTGTATATAGCTTTCTAAATCATAAAATGCTTAGCATTATGATAGGATCGTTACATATTTTATGGCATATACTGTTAAAACTATCGTAAAAAAACATCGGCTTTCAAATGTTACTAATAATAATAATGATAATAGCAAGCTGTAACCACTTCTCTCAGATGTGTTGAATACTTATAGCAAGCAATGATTTAATATATTTAAATATTTTATTGAAAACCATATCAAGTATACTTAAATTTACGAAAATAATACTACAAGCAAGAGAAACAGAAGCATACATTTGACATATGGCTAATAATAATAAGGATAACAAAAATTACTACGTATCAAATCATAAAGATACAGGGCTTAAATGTCATCTAATGTACACTATTTATAATGTTTATAACAAATATACATAACTGGGTTTTTAAGTACAGATTTTTTTTTAATCGTATAATTTGGTGATCGTTATTTATATATAGAGCAGGTGTGTATGCATATAGATCCGCGTCTGAATACTTAACATAAGCCTATATACGGTCTTGTTTACTTTGTATGCATAATAAGTCATTAATTGAACATTAGAGTAAACAAAAATCCTCGCCATTCAACAGATATAATAGAGAAACTTTAACCGATATTCTTTTACATAGGCCTAAATCCTCTAATTGACTGGTAATCAATTTAAAGGATTTTTGTAGTAAAAGTCTGTAAATCAGTGAAAATAAAATGATTTTGATTAACGTTTTTGGAAGTTATTTAGCATTATATTTAATTCATTTAAAAGAAAAATTATACATTTTTAAATTGAATTTTCTTTTGTTTTTCCATATTCCACCACAGAGGGTATATATATTCCTATCTAATCAAAACATATGGTAAAAACTGTATATTTTATTAATCCCTTTCCTTTTAAACAATACATTTACCAGACTGTATAATGGGTGTAAACAAAAGACTAAGGAAAGAAAATAAGTAGAATTATAAAATATAAAATATGTCAAGTAAATCTATGATAATAATAATAATAATAATAATAATAATAAAATAATAATAACTTTCTTTCAGCAAATGTTATAAAACACAAAGAATACTATCGGTGTTAACCAAAATGGCAGTGACACAGCTGGTATTCTCTGATGCGAACATTCCAATAAAATGAAGCATAGATATATAATAATGCAAAAACATGATCCCCGCCCTTCCCCCACCCCTTTAAAAAACAAAACAAAGCAAAAAAGAATTTGTCTGATTCACATAAAATTGCTACTTGCTAGTGCCGACATACTTTGGCACCGCCGATTGGTTGGTATCAAATATGGTGCCTTCCCGATTGCGTCAGGGACGGGACTGTCGGGGACTGCTACGCAGTTTAATGATTCTAGTGAAACACTGTACCGACAGTGTAGCGATTTTATGGAAAACTCATTCCTATCTTGGAGCTAGTCCCATGAGGGCAGTATGACTATGACAGTGAAGACGTTTTCAAACGTTCATCAACATTGATGACCATATCGATATAATTTCGACCAATTACATATGGAGAAATTCTTGCCCCTCTATACATTTGTAAATCAAATAATACACGAAATATTAAATAATAATATTTAAACTATTAAGTACAAGGTATTTACTGTATGTCCTTACGGTAAGAATAACAAAATAAGGAGGATGTACCTACAACACTAAATAAAATAGAAATTACAAAATGGCATTTAATTATATTAACAATAGATAATAACATTATTATCTATTAATATACATAAAAAAGTTAGAAGAATTAACATCACTCCCTTAAATTTCATAAGCTAATATTTAAATACAGGAATTCGTAGATATAGATGAAAATACCGGAAAAAATAACATGAATATCAACAAGTTTACAGTCAACCATATCATACAATAGTCAATGTAATAGTATATCTGAACAGAGTACAGTACATTAACAAGCACAGAAGTCCGAGAATAAAATTATATATTTTGTAATATATAAAATGGTTGCTAAATCATCATTCTTTCGAGTCAACATGTGTTTTAAAATTCAGACATTTTCTGAGATATAATTCCAGGAGGCAGATCTGGTAAATGGAATTGGGGAGGGGTTATATTGGCAATGGCTTGAAGGGATTTCCTTTAAGCCATCAACAATTTTCTTAGGCCTACAGTGACTTGCAAGTACTCCAAATCGGCCCCTAGATTCAAAAGATGCCGTGTGTCAAATTACCTTAATTCAGTTGGCCCAACACACTGTAATCAATGTGTGTTTGCTAAACTAAGGAGATTCTCTAGTCCTTGGGTTGAATTAAAATTATTTAAACTCCCAATTACTTTTTAGATGTTCGGCTAATCTTGACTGTTTTTAAGGCCTGTGTACACACATTAGGGGAAGAGGCTGGTTTTGGTCGGTGTGGGGAGGGGGAAAAATTGATTGGGGAAGGGGAAATTGATTGGGGAAGGCCAATGAAAACTTAATGGTCATTTTTAGTATTTTAACCCACTTAGTGGCACTGATTTGCAATCATGGGGGAGGGGTGCGGCCCTGGTCTATGCCTATGCTTATAACAAAAGAATATAAACAATTACCACAACATTTACTCTTGTATATATGATGGAAAAACTTTTTTCTCCCTGTTTAATGAATGCAAAATTTGCAATGAATACAGTTCACTCACTATATACACTTTTCAACCAAGTTAAGTACATTATTTCTAAACTTAAAGCCTCTAAATAAATAAAACATTTGCCAAAAATAACAATAATAAATAAAAGTAGAAAAAAATGAACCTATATTTAACATAATTTACAGCTTTTATCTGGAAAACCAAAAATACAGAAATGGTATTCCAAAATTACCATGCAAGGGAATAAGGCGGCATATATATAAAGGGTATAAATAAAATAATAAGCCATATATGTAATTTCAGCTTCATTACTTTTCTTTTTACAACATTAGTTCTATTTTCTAGAAAAAAATCTATTATAATATTTACACTAACACAGATATATCCTACATACACAACTACAATACTATATTCTGTAGGAGAAAAAAATACCCACATTTAAAACATTCCATATTTGGTGTAAGTGATTTGTTCTTGTTACTAAAACATCTGTTTAATTTTTTAAACTTCAGAAGACTTAAAAAAAAAAAAAAGCTCATCCTGCAAAATTGCTAACCTAATTCTCACTTCTCATGTCTCTTACGCAAGCAACATCATTCTATCAGTAAGTTTATACTTTCTGTATATTTATGTATTTCAGTGGCAGATTCAAGGAGGGCCCATTTGGCACAGGACCCCCTATATTTTTTAGGATTTATAAAAATGGAGTTTGAGAGTGGCATTTCCATAATCATAAATGTTCTTACCTCAACCCCAACCATACTGGGGCTGAGGCGGTATACTCCTTCCATCTGTGACAGACCCTCCCTGGGACCCCTTTATTGAAAATTTCTGTATCTGCCACTGATTATCAGCATTCAACTGGAAATTAGGAAGAGAACATTTTTTTCTCAACAATTAACAGGCGTATAATTAATAATAGTACTATTGCTGTATTATTTGTATGGATAATTAAATTGGCAGGTAATCAATTTAAGGATGTAAAAATGAGAATTGCAAGTGGGGGGGGGGCCCTACTACTCCTTCCCCAATTATGAGGTCCAGGGTCCCCTGGCAAAGGTGCTCTCTGTGCACCCTGCCGGTGATGCCACTGCAAAAACATATAAAAACTGAATACCAGAGGCTTACCATTTTTGCACCATTTGTGAAGGAAAACACACTAAAAATATTCTTTGGCTTAAAACTTGCCTACGAAATGCAAGCAGTACATGTAACCACAGTGTTTAGTATTGGAAAAATTGATAAGTAGTTAGTGAGTATTCATTACGAGTAAAAAAAATCACTTTTTCGATTGATTTGTGAAGTTAAATACCTCATGTTAAATGTATAAAGATCTCCAACTCTTTTTGAGTTTAGTACCAGAAGCTTAACAACACAATATATTCATCAAATGAAAAGAATAGGGTTACATTTCTGTTATCGGATTTTTTCATGATAGGTATTTTTAACAACTATTATGTCATACAATGTAACAATCCATTAATAATGTCACACATTTGTACGAGCAGCTATAAACATTTGGTTTTACTAGTTCAATATATTTCAAAGCGGGAAATGGAGAGCGTGTTTAAAGAAAAATTTAACAGTCTGCATAGCCAGGACTTTGGCACAATGAGCTTGCATGATAGCGAAGCTATAAAACATGAAATTTTTTTTTTCTATCTCAGTTGACGTACTCTAATGAATGGAAGTTAATAGTAATTGTCAACAACATGAAAGTTGAATAAGAACATGCAAATATTTTTTACAGCAATTTAAAGCAGATATTGATGTCCTATGGCAAAACAAGGTAACTGCTATTATAATTTTGTTACGTTGCTTTGCCTTGGAACGGCCGCGATGATGACTTGCGCATGGAGATGACGTGTATGGAAGAAGAGTATATTGAGCAATCATCTCAGAAACTAAGTCAACAGAATTTAAAGCATCCACGTGTCAGTAATGTAATTACAGACAATTCCAAAAAACAGTGTAGAATAGGCTCAGTAAAAATTTCTGAAATATTCATAATCATGGAACTGAGTGGCAAGAAAATCAAGGTTGTAAATCAATAGTTAAAGACTTAAGCTGGCATCATTCACAAAGCGCTGATGAACACATGTGAATAAAGTAAAGTAAAGCATAAAAACTATTTAATACCAGTTAGAATACTTTTCTGAAGAACTGACTGTACTAAAATGTCGCCCTCTATCTACAAAGATCAGCAAACTCCTGTGTCATAGTTTGGCAATTTTTATATGGAAGTCAAGAAGATTTTCAATACTGTATTCACTTTGTTTTACATCTTAACCCACAATTATTCTGTACACAATCCTGAGTTTGTGTACTTTCAATCCAATTCGACACACACTAAAATTATAATATGTTTGGTTTGGTTTTTTTTTCTCCCTATAGTTTTTGTCTCCCTATAGAGATAATATTGGAAGAACACAAGTCATTTAAAACCATTACATGGCCAATTATGTTATAAAAAAAAAAACAAAAAAAAAAACAGGTCATCATAAAAATGAGGTCTCAAGTTACTGTATATAAATTCTGTCCATCTGTAAGCCAGCACACATGATTATTACTAACTCAAAAAATCTAACACTCATCCTAAACTTTTTAAATTGTCAAACTTAAAAACTATTTACATAAGAAAAAACAATAAGCACATTCTTAAGGTAAGCATTTTAGACTGGTTATTGTGAATGTGTCTGGAGCCCTCATAAAACATTAATAAACAACCACAGATTTCATGAATTTAGGCTCTATTCGTTGTTATAGTGCAGTTCATTTGCAGCAATAATTGTTGGGTTTCTGATTCTGCAGAACCATGTTCCATACTATACAAAGCAAGGTATATATAACATCCTAGAATTATTATGAATTGGGGAACTATGTTTCAAAGTTTTAACATATTATATACATACAAATATATATACACATATAGGTCTCCCTCCATCTAAAGACCACTTTTGGGACCTGAGTTTCCATGGTCTTTAGCAGCTTTGGTCTCTAGAAAAATAAAGATAAGAGACATCTGTTATTATGAGAGGTCTTTAATTAGAGGGAGAATTGTATATACTTATGTATACATATTATATACATTGACTGCCTTGCAACCTGTAACCCTACCATAGTCTACTGACTTATAGACTTTCAAAATGAAGGAAATACAATCATTCGATGTTTAGCTCAAAGGTTATTGGAAGACTAACAAAATACTCAAGCCACTACTCATCAAAATGAGTAATAAATCATACTCGACCATTCTTAAATTGATTATCATTATCTTAATAAAATAAGAAATATCAATTCATGTATATTTATTACTTATTAATTGTTTAACTGTTCGCAAACAACACGATACTTTGTGAATTGTAATGCCATTTTTCTTCTTTTAATAAGATTACCTTCAGAATTGAATTGATTAAAACTATATCAATCATAATTTTCCCATTGTCCATGCAAAATCTGTTAACCTAGTTATGGTTATAACTAGGTTAAAATAGTTATAAATAGTTAAGGTTATAACTAGATTAACTAGTTAAGGTTATAACTAGGTTAACTAGTTATAACTAGTTAAGGTTATAACAGTGACTGCTATAGTACCCACCTTCATGAGCTAACTCAATATTCCAATTTTACTGTACTTAAAAAAGTGTACTAAAGCTATTCCAAGTCATATTATAATTTTGTCTATGTAACTAATAGTTTGTCCATTCATTGGACAGTATATATAATATATAACACTGATTATTAGCTGGTTACTGTACATCTATTATTTTACTGCTTGTCTATCATATGCAATTTTTTTGTACAATTCTGGTTCACACACTACCACCACTGCCTCTTCAAAAGAGGACAAGTCAAATATTTCCTCTCTGTTTTGGTAGATGTTTTACAGAGTCATTTCTCCATGCTACTTTGTTCCTCGTTTTTATCTCTAGCTGCGACTATACGCCCTTGAATTCATGCATTTTAACGTCCCTGAATCCTTAGCGATAACGTCTGCGATAAATGTGTCCAGCTGACAACATAATATTTAATTTTGCTCTTCGAGCAGATTGAGGTACTCTTAAGAAAACAAGATGAGATTTTCTCCAATTTCAATAATTGTAGTTAAGGTAGTTACGCAAGATTAATGATGTGTCCGCAAACTGAAGAAACTCTTGAACCGATTGGACATTAAATGTTTGACGAGCTAATCACTAAGATAATCTTACAGAATGCGATTAATCCTGATTAGTCCCGTATAATCCGCTTCAAGTCATGAGCGACTTCTGCTTCATCTGACTGCCTGAGCGTTCAATTTGTCAGCGATCTTATTGGCTCACATCTTCAGTTGATTGTAGTTATCCTGCATTTTAGAAAGCGTCTTACGAACACGCAGAGCTGTGAGACGCGCCGATGGATTGTGGTTCCAACACTCCACCATCAACCTTGATATTGTGCGTAAACACTACATTTATAAAGAAGCAAAAAAAAAAAAAGGTCATGATTAATCACTGTCCAGTAATGTTGATCATTTTGTCTTTTAATGTTATACTTTTGATTAATTTAGTAAGCACTCATCAAAAAAATAAAATATACATTAATGACATAATTATAAATTCAAACAAAATCAAGTAATAGGACTACTTATGTAGCTGATCAAAGTCAGCTTTATATTTTCAATGTTTATAAAAATTAATATTTTTAAAATTACAATCAGTCCATGGGGGAAACACTGTACAATGTTACTTTTTTGCATTACATTACTATTTTTTTTATAACAATCTATTTTAAATATCCCTTTAAAAGTTTTTGCTGTTAAAAATATTGCTCTTTATGAAAAATGCAAACCCCCACCCCAAAACTCAGTACTTACATCATCAGAACTCCATCTGTTGGGAATAACCGGTCTTCTTTTCTCCGTACAGACCACTCGTTTCATCTCATCATGGTTGGGTTCGGATCCTACAGAATCGTAGAAGGGAAGCTGAGCCTGTTCTACTATTCCTACGGAGTAAACAGATTTCTGTATTAAGAATTGTGAAACAGAATACAAAACCTGGTTGTAAAAATAACATGACTTTAATTTTTATAGTGCCTCGAACATTAAATACAGGAAAAGGCCCTTTTATTATTATCTACTATTCTATGCAAATTTCTTCAATTATTAAAGGTAACATTTTATTAAGGAGATCCTTGTGTGTCACACAGGTTATATTATTATTATTATTATTATTGCATTACAATAATAAGCCGTTGGTTCAACATAGCCGTTTTACACATTAAAGAATACATGGTCGAATGGCAACCTACAGCCATAATATCGGTGCTGCAGGACCAGGGTACACAATAGGCTCATGTGCACATCTCAGTACACCTTTCGAGACGAGTAGGGGATTACCCCTGATGTATACAGCCCCTGTTACCATGTGTTTATGGACCATAACATCCTTTGCAGGATGTATCTATGTGAACAGAAACATGAATTATTTAAAAAAAAGCATGATGTACGGCCCAATTCACCACAAGCACTGCAGCTGCAAAGGGTTCCTGGAGTCCAGCTCTGATTTATACTACCATACTAAGCTTTTATAATTACAGTATTACCATTACCAATATCAAATATTATAATTTGTAATTTGTAATAATAAAGCTATTGTTTCATGACCTATTCTATCTGATACTGATAGTGAATGCATTCAGATCTTAAAAAATAATGTTAAGCACCATATCATAGACAAAAGGCTCATTAAAAACATAGGCACAGAAAAATGAATTCCAGCCAATCAAAATCTCAAAGAAACCTTGTGACAAATGAGGGGCTGATCCAGGGGGAAATGAAGGGGAGGGGGGAGGTGGCTAAGGGAGGGAAGAAAAGAAAAAGAAGAACAGACAGGAGAATGAGATAAGCACTCCAAAATAAATTTTTGATTTAAATCCATGTCTGTGGTCAGGAATTTCTAAATAAAAATCCCTAGTACAACCACCACCCCTGCCCCCTCCACTCTCTGTCCAGTCTTCGCACACACAGGTTTTTCTCTGCATCTGTACCTGCACACCATATCATCATCAACATCTTCCGGTAGTCTGCATAACCTCTATTATTAACAGAGTATACCCTCACAATGCTAAAATGCTATGCATTACTGCTCGCATATGTGTTAACATTTCTCTCTCCCTTTAACTTTTTAAAAATCAAAGGCTTTGCTAAGTTTTTGACTTTTAATAGAATTTCTATTCCGCTTTTGTCTTTGAAAAAAAAAGTTGGGGGAGGGGTTTGAAAGGATTTCCAGGGTAACTTAGCAAGACTTGACCCACGTTTTCAATAATTGTCAGCATGCTCAGCTCTTGAATTAAGAGGGAGCTTTCGATTGCACGACGACGGTAGGACGTAAGTACGTCATTAAAAGTCATCTGCGTAAGAGAGAATGTTAAGTTCTCTTGGTCGCGTGGATTCTAGAAATGCAATTTGGCCAAATCTATGTGTGCATAGAACGTAGGACGCCCGGTAGGATGGTCATGCATGAGTGATTCCATTCTAACATTGCGTCGCCGAACAAATCGGAAGCTCGCTAATCTTATTCAGAGAGATGCACTTTTACAACTAATGAGTTCATGTTTACATACAGTACTTCTGCAAATAATAATCTTTGAGTTTAATATCTCCTGCTTCTTTTGTCATTCAAGTTCACCTTTTTATTATGTTTGACATGTTTTACCTTCTTTCCAGCTGGCTTTTGTTCAATTGTTATGATCCTTTATAACACTTCTACTAATGTTTGCTTATTTTATTATTTCATATCAAACCAATCCCATCGCACTGACTGACGGTTCGTTAAAAGATCTAATTAAATGCTCCGATACATAATTATGTCACAGTAAACAGACAAAAATTTTAATTCACACGAAACATTGTACGTATGGAATATATTACTGTTTGTACAAAGAATTTTACTAACACTAATATATCCAAACCAGATGACATTATTCCAACATATTAAAATTGCCAATGCTGGTGATAAGGAAGAGAATTGTATGAATGAAAGCTTAGAGATAAAACCTAACATCGATACTACTAACTACTTGGACTTTTATGCATTAACAGTTAAAGCGATTTAAAAACTTTTTGGTCGATGACTCAAACAAATGTCCATGTAATAAACCAATTCGTAGTTTCAACTGTGCATGCCCGAATCAAGGTCATCACAACAAAGGTTTAGGCTGATTCACCTTGAATACGGGCATGTGCACTTAAAACTACGAATTGGATTATATGCTGCGACCCACTTCCCATGATGTTAAAAATACTCTTGAACACCAAACAAAAAATGTATAAAATACCAATCACCAAGAAAAACAGTCCTGTTGCGGAAGAAATCTAAAAGTATGGTAGCTACAATGAATTGATTCGAGTTGGCATAATAGATACTAAATTAATAACATCCAAAAAAAAACCAGTGCTCATCATATTGAGCATTATACAAAGAAATGAATTGTGAAGTCAATCTTGTTATAGTTAATCAATATTTAATGTTGTATAGTATGATAATACAGCTGTATATTACATCGCTGTTAACCGACTCTGAATATGGTCAATTGTAATGTACACAATAGACGTTTCCTTTGTGTTTACAATACTAGTAAAAACACTGTGAATGCGCAACAGGTGGAGAAGTAAGCCAGATAGAAAAAAAAAAAAACAAAAACCCAACGCTACTATCTTTTAATGAGCTTGCATCATACCTTTAGGCTAACGAGGATCATTAATTTGATAAATGCTCTTGAACTACTAGTACTATACTACAGAGAAGCAACCGCCCGATTAGAGTCAATTATTTAGTATTAAAATACTCCGTTTTAGTAAATTTCAAACCATAAGATGTGTATAAGTACATACATATGTATTTATATCTATTAGAACAATTTCTTAATATTGTATTTTTACTCTGATCTGCTTTTATGTCTATTATTATTTTTAGCTTTCACTAATAAAACATTACAAACTCAGTTTAAGAAGAAAAATGGAAACCAAGCAATCCAGTATGTGGAGGAACCAGAACAGCTGGCAAGTAACTCTACCAAGCCATCCTGGAAATAAATCAATATGTTTGTAAGCTAAAGTTTTTAGGTCGCCACTCCAAAACTCTGGAACACTTTTCCCAACATATGGGAATCTCCATTGATTTCCTTATTTAAAGCCAGACTTAAAGCTTATCTTTACTCATCTATGAAAAAGTTTAACATGGAAAAACACATCACTGAAATAGAACTTAAAATTTCCAAAAGCCTTGTTATCATTTCCTGATTATCCTTTTTACGCAAATAACATCTTCCATGTTCTCTATTGCTTCCTCATCCTTCCTTATCTGAGCTAATTTAACATTGTCTGGGCCAATACATATTTATCCCATGTCAACAAACTCCACATTCTTCAAAACAAGGCTATCAGGATCACGGCTTGCACTAAACCACAAGTAAATTTGTGTTCTCTGCTATGCATTCTATTCTTTCAAATCATTTATCCAATATTTTTATTCCCAATTACTCTATTCACAATTATCCCACTCTATCTAGAACTCATATTCACATACATACACATAACACTAATTATTTTCAACATAAAATATTACATGCTCGGCCCTATATTAATGAACTACCTCCCTCCCCCAATTCTAATTGCTGTTTCTCTAAAAACATTTTCCAAAAAAATATAAAATACACCTAATGTCATACTATTAAATTAATTATCCTCATTCATAATTTGATATGTACTGCTTTAACATGAACTGCAGTTACTTATTAACTTATTTATAATTTATTTGACTTTTCACTTATTTGTTTATTTGTTTTGTTTTGTTTTTTTTATTTTTCTTTATTATTTTTGTATGATTTTTATTTCCTTTAAGGCATACCCATCACAAGATCTTCATCTCCTTTGGATCTAGCCTTCTTCCACACCTTATTTTTATTATTCCTTTTAATCACTTATTTTTGTATATATGTGAGGTATCATCACAAATAAGTCTCATGGTTAGAAAATCAAAAATTCAGTTTATATTATATGTGGGTAGATCACATTATAAGCTTTACTTTGGTCTTTGAATGTCTTTTCTAGGATAAGTAGATCCAAAGATGCGAGCATTTAAATTTTAGGTGTATGAGAACTACGTATTGAGAATATCGGCCTCAAAGATAAACTAACCTGTACAAATAATAGGACTATAATATGCACGGAAAACACTGTTTTAGTAAGAAAATTCACATAAAACGTATACAATCATAAAATAAAAGTATTAATAATAATAAATAAAATTAAAATATTATAATCAAAATTTTGTAAACATTTGACTTTGACCTGTTTTAGGTGAATATCTCAATATGATTTCACCAATGATGCATCTCATTTTGTGGTCAGACCTCACATATATGCCTTTGTACTATGGAAGTAAATAAATGTCTTTTGAATTGAAAAACTAAATTATTTAAAATTGTTTGTTAATGGTTTGTATTGTTCCTTTATTCTTTGTCTCCTCTTCATCATACTAAAAAAAAAAACAAAAAAAACAAAAAAAAAACACAATGATCAATTAACTTGAAACTAGAACATGGTTCACATAAATTAATATGAGTATTCTGTGCGTGCACATAGGTCGAATGAGCACTTATTATTAAAGAGGACTTTCAGCTGACTAATAGTGTAAACACCATCGAAACTAATGAATTTATGTAAATCTTCTGCCTTAATCAAATTTGAGGTTGTCTAATTACAATGTTTTAAGTATAAACATGGTCTTCATTTATAGAGCGTATTGTTTACCCTTCAAATGACAAAGAAAATATTTTAAGTTCTGTCCAAAATATATTTAGGCATGATGATGTCACATAATACCAAAATATTGATAAATGCATATGCAACGAATTGGTATATACACTCTATAAGTATAAATAAAGACAATGTATATCACCCTCACTTGCTACCAGAAATCATTTTCAAGACACCTTGGTTGGTACAAATCAACACAAATGTGGACTGTACCATTGTAAAATGGGGGTTCCACAATGAGCAGTTTTGTCATTATTCCATGCTAACTTTACCTTGTAAGATGCACCTTCTTGCTATTTCCCATAGTACCAGACCAAATGCGTACATATCAATCATCTTGTAGGCATCAAATGAATCTGCAATAAGACTGCCATCGAGAACCTCCGGTGCTTGGTATCGCCTCGTACCACTGCGCGTGTTTGGTGCAATTTCTATTGTGTTTGTTTCACTGAAAGCATCAATATGTATAGTTTAAAGGCCTTGATTATCATATATTAGTTTTGTTATCTACCTTTAGTGGCATCCTGTAACAATATTGTTACCATAAATTAAGATTTAAAAGAAACTTTCATCTCGTAAGAAAGAGTAATCAAAATGCAGGCAAGACGAATGACTGAGCAGTTCAGGCAGGAGTGCCGCAACCAACAGCCATAATACTGGCGCTTGTTCGAAACGGGTTGCTCCCTTATGGTTCTTAAGATGGAACCAGCCTTCTTGGATAAGGACTGAAGGCCCAATGTACACAATTGCCTTATGTGCACTTCTTTTGAGATGAGTAGGTTACCCCGGTGTACGGGTCCATACCCCTGTTGTCTACAGATGAGAGTAGCTGGCACCGATTTACCGGGGTAGCTCAGAATCGAAGAGACCCTTAGGGGAAAAGCAAGTTACAGTATGAGTAGTACACGCTTCAGCGCTTGGAGACTCAGGTGTAATGCGCTATATAAATCCAACTATTATTTATTACTATTATTAAAATGGGCTCCAAAAGCTTGAAATCAGTATAGTTAACTATTTAACTTAATTAAAAAACCATTTTGACCGCCATTTTGTGAAGACGCCTACTGTTCCGCTTCAGTGCACTTACCATAAGTATCTAGCAGCCAGCCCCATGTCCCCTAACACGCACGTTCCATTCTGTTTTACTAAAATATTTGTACTTTTGATGTCACGGTGAGCAATGGCCGGCTTTCCTTTTGTACCGAAGATTTCTGTGTGCAGGTGAGCGAGTCCGCATGCTGCTGAATGTGCGAGCTTCAGCATTGCACGAGTGTCTAGTACATGCATCTGAAGGTAGGTCAAAAGTGAACCGTTTTCATGGTAATCGGTAATTAATAGAAATTGTGCCCACGAGCCGGTTCCCTTAATATCAGCTGCAATGAATGCTGTAAGAGAAAAGCGTACAAACTCCTAAATTTTTTTACATCTGGTATTTTATGTTTATTTGGAAGTAGGTCTACTCTGGTATAGGCAGACAAGCATCGTAAAACACCAATTACTGTACATCACCACTAAAATTTCAAGGAAAATTGATTATAAAACAGCATTAAATAACACACATAAACAAAATTACACAGATTTTTAAGATTTATCATAATATCGAAGATAAATTATGTAAATGGAAATAAAACCAATGACTTAGTGGATATTAAATTACATTAGGTTTTCAAATATTTATTAAACAGAATTTTAAATAAAGGTGAAAGTGCCAAGCATGTTAATGAGTGGTGAAAAAATTAGTGACATAGTGTATGTACCACCCTCTATAGATATGTAAAGTCAAAGATAAAATAGATTTATAAGTACTAAACAAAAAATTAAACATACATATCTTTGCAAGGTAAAACAAAGGCCGTATAACATGCCATCATATACCATAATCTTTATTAGCACCTTCTTACTTATTAGGAAATGCCACCCATTGCTACCGCATATTCTTGACTTTAAAACAAGACTTAAAGTAACAAATTACGATTTACGATTGAAAAGCAGGGAGTCGTCTTATATGCCCAACGCATACAAGATCTGTGCGGATTGTCCGCAAATTTACTACTGAAATGAAGCTAATAACTGTTACTGTGATTAAACGCAAATTTAAATCCGGAGAAATTAGGTTTTGATGAACATTTAAAAGCTCATATAATAATAATATTTCGAAGATTAGCCCTACATTTGGCTCTGTCTTTAGCTGACTAGACACAGTATGAAGACAATGAAGACAAATTCGGCGGATTGCCTTAAGACTGGTTTCCTCAAAATTGCTACACTGGTGCTAAAGTATTTTCTGTACAATCATTGAACTGAGTAGCAGTCAATGATGCAATCCGGTAGGCACCCTGATAAGACCGACCATTCAGCATCACCAAAAGCTGTCAGCGATAGCGTGCAGCGATTGCATGGAAACCAAGCTTTATGTGCGAGAATATACGGCATTAACAGGTTTGGCTGTCTATGGTATAAATTTATATCTGAATTTCATTAATTTGGTGGACAATAGATATTATGTATTTTTGACATTTAAAATAAAAGATGTTTATGAATGGTCTACCTACAAATAAGAAATGAATGCATGAATAGAAGACAAATATAATTTTAAGGTAATTACAATTCCTGTCATATAAATGCCTCCGTTGATACATACACTAATTTTCTAAGAATCATGTGATCTATTATACACTTCCTTTCCTCACCAAGAATATTTTCATGACGCATCACAACAGTTTGGTAGATTTCAGTTTCTCTGTACCAATTAGCTTCCTCGGCCGTATGGTAAATCTTAACGGCGATTGGCTCGCCGTGCCACCTTCCTAGCCATACCTCACCAAACCGCCCTTTCCCGACGGACTTCACCAGCTGAACTTGCTTGGCAATAGTACGTTGAACCTGAAGGTTAATGCAAAAATCAATGTTGATTAGAAACGTGACCTTGAAGCATGTCAACCAATGACAGTATACACAAACCATTTTGTCGCACATCCGAGGCCCCAAATACACCGTACATTGCCACATAAAAGTGAAATTATTATCATCATTACTATTACAATCATTATTATTAGTTTTGAAATATGAATTATGTTTCACAGTTTATTTATACCACTTTTGACATGGAATGGAAATCCAATTATTCATAGATCATTTGTCCTTATTAAATTTTAATTTGATTTTATTTTCATTCTGCTGCGAGTGACTCGCCACTTTACAGGATGGAAGTAATACTTTTAATAAACAAATTCTCATGATTTCACTAAAACCCAGTCAAGATTATCAAAATTTTCTTCAACAAAAAACTGCTGTATGCCCATTTATAGGCATATTGTGCCTATATATGGTCATGATGTGATGTCATAATAACCATATATAGGCATGTCACATGTTTCTGTCAAATAAAGTTTAATAGTCTGGCCAGGGCTTTAGGGAGCAGAGCAGCAGTTCTATGGGTCGTGACCTTAAATGGGGTCACAAAAAAAACAGAGGGTCTCGAGGCACCTAAGAATATTTTAACATCGGATTTTATGATATAATTTGCTGTAGCAAAGAGAGATTCTAAGTATTATTTTAAACATTTTACTTCAGTTGTGTTTAAATGTCCCATTTTCAGTATCTGTCTTTTTTAGCGTGCCAGGACTCCAATCCACTGTAATTTCATTTCTATTTCTACTTAATTATTAATAATGATAATATAACATAAAATGCATATTAATACTACTTATTATTGATTTGTATTACTGAATTCTGTTACAAGAAAGGGAAGGCAAAGCACATTAATGTTGTCACCCAGATCTTTATAATTTTGATAGTGTTTGTTATTTAATGTATTTGATATTAATTAATAACAAAAAATTTAATAAAAATTATTTAACTGTTGTTTTTTAATCATTTGAATTCATATATANNTTGAAATTGAATTTAAACATTGCACAGTAGAAGCCATACTGGGAAAAAATATATTCAACACTTATCAATTATTCTTATATAATATATTTTTTGCTTTCTGAAGCCTGACTTCCCATCTTGACTTAATTGATTTTTCTAACGAGGCTTCAGTAGACCCAAGCTACTGATTCCAATCTGTTACCGTACAACACTCACAAGTAGAGGAAGACCAGATCCACTGCCTGAGGACTGCGAGCGCTCAATCAATTCTTTTAACGTTTCCCCTGGTGGAATAAGATGAGCGCTCTGCTTCGCTGCCTCGTAATCTTCACGCAGTACTTGTTCCCTTCGTCTATACCTGCAAGAGAATCGTTCATACATAATTGATGTTATCTACAGAATTAGCTATAGTATTTGTTCAAGACCTGCAGTTAAACAAATAATACAGGTTTGTATAATATGATTAATATGAATATAGCAATCGCTACACTGAAGAGAGCAAATGTATTGCCGAAAAGTGTATGTATGTTTAAACAGAATTTTTATAATAAAATCAGCTAGGCATTCCCTGCATGTTATAAAGCTTGAAAACTGTGGTCTTTTTAAGATAAGGCCCTATAAAAAAATGATTACTTTATCACCCTATCTAGGCTAGAAAAGTGATGTGGGAAGGAGGCTTTTTATATTTTTATTTCTTATTTTGCTAAAGCCAAATATCACCCTTGGGTTGCTTGCTTCTGCATTGACATTCAAAGTAAAACATGATTTAGATAATACAAACAATATCTACTAACTATACTAAAAAAACAAAAAATTAAAAAATAATAATTTTTCTCAAAAAAAAGGGAAAATAACCAATGAATTTCCAATTTCTTTTTTTCCAAAATTGTTTTTTTTTTTTTTCAATATCACAGAAGACAAGCAGGCGAGTGTGATAAACTAATAATTTTTTTATTGGGCCTATTATGAATACATAATGGTGAGAAATAACATAGTAAAGATTCTTTCAACAACATATGTAGCAAATGCCATAATGTACTATCGTATATACTCTAGAACAACACTTTACTCTTTTCCTCCAAAAGGTAAAGTCAAGTATCCTATGAAAAAAAAAAACATTTTATGAAATTGGCTTAAAAATATGACAATTTAAAAATGCCAAAAAATGAGGGAAAACCCTTAAAAATTTAATTCAAACATTGAAGCTCATAAAAAAAAATTACTAACTTTTAATCGAACACAGATTAAAACAAGAAAATATAATTGATTCAGATACTTTTTCCTTTACAAAAGCAAAAGCCCTATACAGACTATCAAATTTTATTTGACAAAAACATGTGACATGCCTTAATATGGTCATGATGACATCACATCATGACCATATATAGGCACATCATGACTATATATGGGCATACAACAGTTTTCGTCAGAGAATTTTAGACATAAATGTCTATGCAGAGAATAATAAGGACAATTTAGACTGGTGAGAAAAATATATATATTTTTTAATTCTTTTAATTGAGAGATATTACGGATGCTACAATCAGGGCTGGAGTACACAACTGGTGGTTGGGGGCAACATGAATGTCCCGGACACATTTTGGGTAAAACACATTCAACAATATAAACTGCTGGGCTATATATACTCTAGTGTACAGATAACATTTGTTGTTGGAGGCATTTTATCGAAACAACTTTCTTCATGTTCGGAGACACAAACATTTTTTTTTTCTGGGCCTGGCTACAAATTAAAACTTGAATAAAAATATGGAATTAATTATAATTTCCAAATCTTGTATAGCTCCACAAAGGAATTAGCCTCAAAACCTGGAAATTACATTGTACTGGTCGTGCACTAACACACTAGAAGCAGAAATGGCTACGATTATTATCATAAAGGATAAAATGAATCAATCAAAAGTAGAAATTGTCTGGACAATTACTGCTCATGCAATAAATAATGTGAAGCATCCATAAATAGAAAGTTCGTCCCTAAATGCTGACTTTAGTAATGAAATCGTAGGCTAGAAATAAACTTTCTAGATGGTCCCTATGGTATTTGACATCATTAGGTTTCACCACCCCTGGGAACACTTCCTGAGATCCAGATAATTCACAACTTTCATTCACAATTATCCAGTGAACATCATGCGAAATGTATCTGTTGTAGGAGTATCATTCGTCGAATCAGCAGTAAAATACAAAACTACTACTACTAGCAAAAAATAGTTTTGTACAATAAAAATATTTATTTAAATACCATCATCAATAAATAAAAACCTAAAATCTGAATGACAAAATAAACAATTATAAACAAGTGAAAAAATACAATTTTCTGGAGAAGATTTGCCTTGATCAAAATAGTTCTGAATTTTATTTTTGGATATTGTGAAAAGGTGGGCAGTTTCATTATATTATAGGGGAGTTTAAGATTTCTTCCGGTGATTTATAGTTTATATCGAGCCCAAGACAGTGGGATTGGATGGCAACTATCTTACCACCAAGTTACAGTGCTAATATTCGAGATGATGCTAACAATGGTGCTAATGTTGTTAATAATGATGGTGATGAATGATGATGATGATATGAAAATAACGATTTTAATGACAATGACGTTATGATGATCTTGATGTTGGTTTTAATGATGTTGACAATGATGACGGTGACAAGAACAGTCGCTGCAACGATGAAGATGCAATGTTGGTGGCAGTGTTGTTGACGATGGTGTTCTGCGATGATGATAAATGATAATGATGTTAAGGAGAGACTTTTCTTATTCCTTGTTTCGTGTGCTTATTTTTTTTAAAGATCATTGGAGAAGAACAGAACAAAAATAAAATAAAATTGTTTTCTTATTTAGCAAATAGTTTCGCCAAGAATATCCAGACGGAGGAGAAAATAAAAATAAGATTTTATTGGTGAATGTAAAATAGGCTGGTTAAATGCTTCAAATTTATATAGTTAGAAAGAAATATACATATCTTATCTTTGGAGATTTTAAGGCAGCGGAGGGCATAATAAAAATAAAGAAAAACTTTTATTTTTTTCTGAAATTTCCAGTTTTTCTTGGCGGTGGGTGCAATATTTGCCCAAAAATAAAATTTTATTTTCATTCAAGATCATCAATATTTGCAGCCGGTGGGTTCGCTAAGGTATAAAAAAAAGTCTCGCCTACTGTAAATAACTATAAGTTTCCTAAATAATATATTGATAATAAAGTAATAATTCAACATGGGTACTATAAAATTATGATGTTAAGTAACTATAAGTTTCTAGAATAATATATAAATAATAAATTAATAATTCAACATGGGAACCATAAGATTATGTTTGTAAATAATTTTGCTAATATCGAAATTTTTAAATACTCTATTTGTATCCATTTCCCAGATGTGTGAAAATGTGCCTCTTGGGTCAAGTCCTAATAAATTAGGCATATAGTATAATTTCCTTTATAAAAAATTAGACAAAGAGAAAGAATTTGTGTGTGTGATATTCCATTCATTATGTAACCTACAAAATATTTAATAAAGTTGACGTTTTGTGTTTAACATTCCATTGTTCCTTTGTTTATTTGTCACGTATTGTTTCTAAGACTGATACATACAAAATGACGAAATGAATACAATGTACGAAATGACTACAACCCATGCATAATTATCATCCAAGTCTTATCTCTCCTAAATGATGTATGTGATCCTACACTGACAGATGGGCAAAAAATGACAAATTATCTTATTCAATATTCAATACCAACGCTAGCCTCGAGTAATACCGAAAACATGTCATTTCTATTTATGTCCATCGATCAACCGGCAACTGTGTAATCACGGTTACATGGACGCAACTAATTCGTCTTCCGGATTTTCACGATGATGTGGGATTAAAAAGATGACTATAAAGAATGATGGCGATGTCTAAATTGCAACAAACCATTCCCTGTTACTGAAAATGAATTCTAAAATGTAGAATTTAGTTTAGAGAATTTTTAGGAAAATGACGGAAGTATTTAGTGAAGGATGATGTGAGAAATTACAAAGCAGAATACACAATTAAAATTATGAAACTATGGGTATACAATCTTGATATTCAGTCTTATATATTTTTATAAATCGACTAATGAAAAATTGGAAATGTAGATTTTAAGTCCAATAATAAATCCATTCATAACATTTAGTAAAATAACTGTTAGTGATAAATAATATTCTGAAACAAATTTTAGGAAATAAGAATTTACGAGAAAAAAAAATTAGTTTTTTTTTCTTCTGTGTGAAGTATTTATAAGAATAAATAAGTTTATTTTGGTATAATTAAAATCATTATCATAATTAGCATATTATTCCCATAATGTCTACTATTAAAATATTAACTATATTAGTAGTACTAGTATACAATATAATTTTTTTTTAATATTTTACTGAACACACAATTAAAATTATGAAAATATGGGTATACAATCATTATATTCAGTCTTATATTTTTATAAATTGACTAATGAAAATTGGAAATGCAGATTTTAAGGCCAATAATAAATCTATCATAACATTTGGCAAAATAACTGTTAATGATAGATAAATAATTTCTTATTCTGAAACACATTTCAGGAAATAAGAATTTACACAAAAAAAATGCTAAAGTAATTGCATTTTTTTTTCCTTCTGTGTAGCATTTATAGGAATAAATAAGTATATTTTTGGTAATATTAAAATTTATAATAATAATTAGCATGTTATTCCCATAATGTATACTAATATATTAAAATATTACTACAGTATCAGTATTCCTGATGACGACATAATTAAAGTCGAAATATTGAATCCCTACACGATAGCTTGCATTTCGATACTTTTAGTATTATATATCAGTAGTATTAGTAATCAATTTTATTTTTTTACTATACAGTATTTAACTTATTTATTCAAGCGCGTGTACGTTCATGCATTGTCTAAAGTGCCTACACCACAACCACAACTACACTGAAAACAGATGCGTATAAACATGAACATGGGTTAGGCTACAGACTAAACATAATGCAAACTGTATTACTATAACGTGCTTTAAATAAATGAATTTGCTCGATTTCCACACTATAGGGAACGTCTCTCATATGCCATAAATCCTGTCTCTTATACACATCTAGATGTGTATAAGAGACAGATCCTACACTGACAGATGGGCAAAAAATGACAAATTATCTTATTCAATATTCAATACCAACGCTAGCCTCGAGTAATACCGAAAACATGTCATTTCTATTTATGTCCATCGATCAACCGGCAACTGTGTAATCACGGTTACATGGACGCAACTAATTCGTCTTCCGGATTTTCACGATGATGTGGGATTAAAAAGATGACTATAAAGAATGATGGCGATGTCTAAATTGCAACAAACCATTCCCTGTTACTGAAAATGAATTCTAAAATGTAGAATTTAGTTTAGAGAATTTTTAGGTAAAGATAAATTCTAAAGATATATTTCTAAATAAATTTGAATTAATAATTTTAATAAAATTATGAGTAATAAATATGTAATAATTTTCAATAAATATAAAATAATTTCATTAAAACTTCAATAAATCTCAATCAAAATTAAGATGAAGGTCACTGTGTGGTTGGAAGCTTGTGCGTCAATAAAATTTGTTAGTCTGCTAAGTACTGTTTATCTTGAATTTACTATTAATAAAAATTAATAAATTTCATCGAACTTTACCTGAGGTAGATGCACCAGCTTATAAGGATAAATATTACAAGGCAAACCGTGACTGAGATGAACAATACTATGCGATGTAACCTGGCATAATGAATTGGTGGAACCGGAGGAGCTGTAAAAAAAAAATATAAAAAAACAATAGAAAATATTAATGATACATAAGAAATGTTTTACATATCATCATATTCACAAATGTTAATCAGTAGCATAAATCTAGAAGTCTTGAAATTGGGAGAAGGGCTAATGGGGGTGTGAAAGCGAAGTTGGGGTGGGGGGAGGCACGATGATCAAATGAGGGGGAGATGGCTTGAAAAATAAGGTAGTTTTTAGCTACTTGAGTGTAAATATTTTACTTCGAATTTCCAGTAGGGGTTCACTGGAGGTGCCAGCTTTTTTTTTTTTGGGGGGGGGGGGAGAGAAAGGGCGTGCACTTCCCATACACCACCTAGATATGCCACAAATGCTGATGCGCGACTTCTCCAATCAGAGCAATTGCTTATTTTCTTGCATTTTTTTTATATCATGCTACCTAATTAATGAACCTAGATCTGACCACAACTAATTTCACCTTAAAAATGTCTTGTTGCTAGGTTAATGTTCTGTTCAAATGTTAGCATAGAAAATTTAACTTGTTAAAAAAAAATTACATTATATAATATCACTGTGGTGGATTGAAAAGGTCATATAAAGTCATACGTGTTATTATCAGTTCAAATTATAAAAAATGATTTATAAGGAAAAAGTAACAACTATAGCCTACAACTTCTGTAATTGTTACAATAATGTTTTTAAACGTAATAGGCCTACTCATCCACAAAATGTTTAACAATTTCTTTTGTTAACACTTAATTCCCAGATCATTGCACTGAATGGCACAAGCAATTAAAAATTTGCCCTATCATAACTTTCATTATCATTATTACTAAAAAATAGTAGTTATGTTATTATAACTGGAATATTAAGAGCGAGCCGAGGTACACTCTGCCATGAACTCTGCCAATTCTAACTAGTTTTATTAATGCTGTTATTTAATATCGAAATGGTTCATCGGTTGATGAAAAAAAGGTCGACAAGTCAATTCCGTATCAAATCTAGGGCACTTAACAAATAATATTCTGTAAGCATAGAGCAATATTGCTCGAGGCTCTATCAAGATGTTAGTTGAATGCACACGAAATTATTAACAATAACAAGTTTAAACTGAGCACGAAAACCATGATCTACAGTGGCCTTGCTGATATTGTCAGCTGATATAATTTCATACAGTAGGAATTCTTAAATACCAATTTAAATTTCTAAACAGTTTACAGACTTTATTGTACTGGGAGTCAAATAGTAGACAATCATCAAGACCTAGACTATTAACATTTTATAGTAAAACTATTTTTAAACTACTCAAAATACTTAAGTACATAATAAAATTACTATACTGATCAATGATTACATTTTTGCAGTAGTTTTCATACATAAAATTTGACTGCATTTTTCAACTCTTGCATTCACTGTAGTCAAAAGGCATCGTGTCTATTTAGAGATCCAATTCCCCAAAAATACATTAAATGCATATTTTGTAGTTAGTTTTTAAACATACAATTTGACTGCATCTTCCAACTCTTGCACACTGTAGTCAAAAGGCATCGTGTTCATTTAGAGATCCAATTCCCCCAAAATACATTAAATGCATATTTTGTTTTTGTTACAAGTTACCAGTAATGTGTAAAATAAAACAATTATATTTTATTGATATAGTTCATATTTATGCTTGCGAAATAATATTTAGGTTGGTTTGTAGTTAGTTTTTAAACATACAATTACTGCATCTTCCAACTCTTGCACACTGTAGTGTTCATTTAGAGATCCAATTCCCCCAAAATACATTAAATGCATATTTTGTTTTTGTTACAAGTTACCAGTAATGTGTAAAATAAAACAATTATATTTTATTGATATAGTTCATATTTATACTTGCGAAATAATATTTAGGTTGGTTTGTAGAATCAGATTTCCTGAATTGAAAAAAAAAAAATATGTTTACAAAGGTGTATAAAACCATTCTCGTGGCTAAATTTTATGTTGTTTGATAAAATAGTGAGGTACTGTAAGTTCTACAAAGAATGTGGCTAAACTCAATCAATTACTTCTGATGACTAAAAATAATCCACATTTCTACACCTCATAATGAGACTATACAGTAGTTAAGAGAGCATCAATTCCTTTTTAATTAAACTGTGGGAAGTCACTCGCATTTGGTTGAGGATTATGTTTAAAATAGTGCATGATGTTTTGTTCAACATTGTAACAAACTGTCTAATTCCAAAACTAGGAACATTTCATGCTTAAGGAACTTTGCGATTTTCAAACACTATTGTGGATTAAATGCACAATTTTTTGGGCCATCCTGAACTATTAAATCTCTCTATAAAAACCCCACAAAGGATTTATATTCTAGGACCCTCACCTACAGTAGGTGGCCCCCATGGTTGGTACCCCCTGTTAGACCCCTGTCTGCAAGTTCCTGGAGTCAACACTGCCTATTGTAAATAAATAAAATATCTGTGGTTGTCTTTGCCCCTATAACTACAGAACGGTTGAGATGGTTAGACATACAATGGGATGTGATGGTCTTCACATAAAAGTAGGCTACTATATTCCACTATATATGATCATCATTTTATATCCATTAAGGTTCATTCCATTATTAGTAAGAGGGATATATATATATATAAGACATACATTTAAATCCATATATATTTTTAATAGTAATGAAATCTATAAATTCCACTGCATTTCCAATATAATAAAGTTAAAAAAAAAAAAAAGTATATCAATTATTGAATAATCTAAATTACCATTGCCAAAACCTCTCTCGGGAGACATACTACAGTGAAGAATTTTCGCCAGAATCACTCGTCCTTGTATTTTTCAATCTACGTTTGTGAATTAATAAATGCAAAAGGCTTCAGATGCAAAAACAAAGATGATAGAAATATGAAACGAAAATCCCCAGGGATTATTTTCTTGAAGGCTATCATAAAGTCGTTACCGTCAACCACATGTTCACATATTTCTTCTGTTCATTGTTTATTCAAAGGTGACAAAACCCATGGTATAGGAAAAAACAAATTCAAAGAATGCTATTATTATGAATGTGGTTTGTGTTTTTTTTTTTTTTTTTTCAATTTTTTATATAGGTATAGGATAAATAGTTAATGAATGGAATGTATAATTGGAATTCATTATATAATGAAGGTAAACAAGCTGAAAAATATATATTTCACTTTATTTATTTCAAATATATCCACATTAAAAAACAAGTTACAAATCATGGCCGAAGGCCAAATTAGTAGCAACTTTCACAAACAGAATCCACACGCAATATATATATACTGTTATATATATATATATATATATATATATAGTGGAGCAACTTGATAAAATATTTTAACTAATTAGCGATAGGATAACCCACAATGTCTGAATGACTACTGTACTTCCAGAGTTGTTCTTCTGGTAGTAAAATGGAGAGTAGAATTGAGAATTGAGACACAATCCCTAATCTTTTGCTATAATACAGTACTGTGTGTACTGCATCTTAAAACTTTCTTTTTAAAGATGATGCGCTAGTATAACTACTGTAGCCTTTTAGCCCTACAGATAGCCCTACAGATAAAACAAGACAAAACAAGACGATGATTCCACTACCACTAGTTTAGACCAGAGCTTTTGCTATTCTCCACTACTTTCTAGTTTTATATTAATAAGTATCAACAGATAAGATCACTATTCCAATTAGATCTTACTAATGACATCAGCATTTGGATCATTATTGCATTCATGTTATTATAAATCACTACCACCACCATCACCACCACTCACATCACTAGTACTAGTAACACAACCAGTACCACCACGAACATCACCAGTACTAGTAATACAACCAGTACCACCACGCACATCACCAGTACTAATACCACAACCAGTACAACCATGCACACCACCAGTACTAGTACCACCACTAAGCACATCACCAGTACTAGTACCACCACCACACACATCACCAGTACTAGTATCACAACCATCAGCACCACGCACATCACCAGTACTAGTACCACAACCATCAGCACCATGCACATCACCAGTACTACTGTAGTACTACCACCATCACCACCACGCACATCACCAGTACTAGTACCACAACCATCACCACCACGCATATCACCAGTATTGGTACCACAACCATCAGCACCATGCACATCACCAGTACTACAGTACAGTCATGAAATATTGCACTTTTACCTGCGCGCAGGCTTCGTAGATACATCGTAGCCTGACATAAACAATCTAACCTGCGCGCAGGCTTCGTAGCCTGATATAAACAATCTAAGCAAGGCTACACGAAGCGAACCTACGAAGCAAAAGCATGTTGTTTATTTGTATGTGCAGAAAGACTGCTGTAGCTTACTGGAATAAACAATGTATTGTTTGATAATTTGTGAATGGCAAACACGAATTTAGACTGTTAATTTAAAGTATGGAACTGATTTTCAATAAGAAAAACATACACTTGACTTCATGGGAGTCTCCCCTTCCACGACAGGAACTTGTTTGTACTGCTGTATTATTTTTTTAAAATTAATTAGCCTAGGCCTAGCTATTTTTCATTTACAATTATTTTACCTCGTTTAAAATGTCAAAAAACGATGTCCTCAATGGCAATACACACATGTGAAAAGATTGTTCATCAAATAATATTTTGTAGTCTTGATTTAGTAAGATAAATAATAAATATAAAGGAGAATTAACGTCCGTTGGTTGTAAAATTACCGAATGTCACATGGAAAACTCAATGGAAAATAAAACTTAGCCAGCAGTAGACGTCAGAGTGCGCGCCAATCAGAACACAGTAAAGTGTGTTAAAGGTTAACCTCGTGGCAAATGTTGAAAAGCTGTGAGCAACAGTGAGTAAAAAAACGGAGTAAATGCGGTCTAGCATGACTAGCCTTAATTCGGCAATGTAGTGATTTCTATACTTCCATTTAGTATTGGATCGCTTTGCAGGTTGTTCTGCTTCAAATTACGGTAAACAATAAACAACGTGGTCTGTAGAAATCGTAATAATTTGTATATGATTTGTCATCAGTATTATTTAAAAGAAGAAAATTCCTACTACCAGAAGAATAATATCAGATCAAAATTCTCCGAATTGGAAAGTTTACCAGTATAACTACTGTCTGCTCTCCTCCTCTATAGGGGAAAATGTAGGCCGTACGTAAGCCAAAATGACATCGAAATTCGAACATACTGAATGCCCACTAGGTTACCCACCCAGCTAGCGAACTAAACACAGTTTTAAAACATGATCGATTTAATAATAAGGTAGGATATAACAAAACAATAAAGTTCTAACATTGTTTATTTAGTAAATTGCAACATTGCTTACGTGTTGAAAGCTGGTAAACTACATTTCAATATTGTTTACGCATTGATTATCAGTCCGACAATCCAGCCTACGATCATTGCAAAGCTAATTAAAATAACAATGACCTTCGTAGTGGTTCGTAGCTACGTTCCAAACGGTACCTACGAGCAGGCTACGAGTGGTTACGCGCAGATACGAAGCGATATTTCCTGACTGTACTGTAGTACCACAACCATCACCACCACGCACATCACCAATACTAGTACCACAACCATCAGCACCATGCACATCACCAGTACTACTGTAGTACCGCCACCATCATCTTCCTTTAGATTTTTTAGCATCAATGCCACAACCACCTTGTGCTTGTTAACCCTGACTACTATGTGATTGTTGTGATCCCATAGAGTACTACAGTGTTACGTCACCATACCACGCGATACTACTCCGTTGCAATCGGCGACACAAAATGCGTTCAACTGACGCCATTTTCTCCACTGACAAACCACTGATCCCAATTTCTAACGTAATTATTACGAATTTGTATCTTAATTTTTCGTTGTACTGTAAATGTTAATTGATGATTATATGCATTCGGTATTCTAATATAATGTGAGCTTTTTGTGTTTTTAGTATGTTGATAAATGTCTATTCCAGAAACCCTACTCTAAACCATCAAGATTATAAAGTCATTCAGGCGTAATGAACGGTAACCAACGTCCAGAGGGCGCCACCTGGGGTTGTGACGACACAACTGCGGTACTCTATGGCATCAATCCTCCCAAGGACTTTTAATTGTACCTCACGCTGTCCTGTAGCGATAGATTAAATCCTAGTCACTGATCAAATTTTATACCTCTTTATATATTTAATTACTTTTTTTTAAAGTAAATTTTGTGACTAAAATTTCAAAATTAGTTAAACCCCAGATGGAAGCCTGATTCTACTGCATCTGGCAGAGATCCAAACGTATCTCTTTCTTACTGTAGTCAGTCTAGACTACCTGCCTACTAAACAATTACATGCTGACTGCCAAGCCGCAAGCCCCATGGTCAAGTACTGTATTAGGAGTCACAGGTGACGGACCAAGCGTCACGACTAACTGTCAAGGATCACAGATGGATGATGTTCGACGTGTCACGGTACCGTGACGCTTCAAGGGCCTGGGGAGAACATGTGAATCATTATTGAGGTATCCTACTGCTCATAATAATCTATGAAATCAGCCGAAACATCATCCACATCATCTACAAATCATCCTCTCTCATCACCATCAACATAAACATCAAGGACATGTCAATCGCATCCTCCTGCAGTATTTACCATCTTCCATTTATGAACATCATTATTCTACCATATTTTTTTCAAAGTTTTCATAAACTTAGTCACATATATTTAATCATCATTTTGCCAATATTTATTGTTTTATCATTTCAGTGTTAGTCCATCTTTTTTTAAACTTTGTTGTCTCATGTATTCCTTGTTCACCAATGCTACTTATTTCTATACTACTAGCTAGGCCTAGTAATGTTGTAGCATATCTATGCCTCTTGGTGAAGCCCTCGGCTAGTGTTTTTTTGACGGCAAGGTTACATCTGTCATTTGACTGTAGGCCTAGTTATTTGCATTTTCTAGGTTCCAGGTTAAACCCCCTAAGCTTGATCCAATTCTGTCACCATTGTTCAAGGTGAAGGGGGAGGGGGGCCCCTTAATGTATGAACTGTAGGATAATCACAAAATTTATCATTATGGTTCTATAATAACAATTTATCCCAACCTTTGTGTATCATACATGTGTCTTTTTTTGTTATCCTTCCATTTAATCTATCATCAAGTATTATAGTAATTCTAGTTAATGAGTTAGGTTACTCTATGATTCATCTACCCAAAGGCATTCATAATATCTTATGACTTAGTATCATATTATCCCTTTGTTGCTAAAAGGCTCTCTGATTACGATTCTAATATTCACTAATTCCAAATGACTATGATGATATTTCTATTTTACCATACTTCCCCTAAATTTAGAACAAAGAAAATCAATAAACAAAATAGAGTAACCACATGTATGACAACGGTGGTTTTGCGCAGCTTACAAGTTATTTCAATTTCCTTCTTTTTATAACTTTGTTGTTTCTCTGTAGTTTTGTTACTGTTTTTTAATTCTGATTTTAGAAATGTAGCCTATACAATATGTTACTATCTCTCATCAATTACCAACTTTGAAGGTACCTGTATTCCTTTATTTGACAACAAAATTAAATATTTTAATTCCTTACATTTCAAAGTAAAGCTTATCACAGTATATTTAAAAAAAAAAAAAATTAAATAAATAATAAATCAGTGTGTAGACAATTTAATGAATTCTAAATTCATGACGTTTATAGGCATTTGTGTAAAAAAATAAGTGAAAATTTATGTATTTTGATAAAATATTTTATCATTTTTAATGAGTATTTCCATGCTTCTATAGACTGAGGGTAGGTTAAGGTATTTTAAATGTACAAGCCTGTCTATCGTTAGGCCTATATTAAGTATTTACAGAATAAATAAAGCTTTTAACAAAACAGTGAAACAATTGTTTTTCACAACTTTATAGTAATTAGAACAATTTTTAAAATTGTATTAAACACCTGTAGGCCTACGTATGCAAAGAACATCTCGTTCTGACTTTCACTTTAAAAGTTAACAACTTAATTAAATATAGTAATCAGTATACTGTATATAACACAAATATTGAGTTCTGTTAATAAATTTGCTTAAGCTCAGACGAGACAAAATGTCTATATCTTTAATAACATTGTAATGTTCATTTCATGTTATTCATGTCTATATCTTTAATAACATTGTAATGTTCATTTCATGTTATTCACGGTAAACCACAGAAAGTGTAATGCAATCTTCAGGTCAATAGGTTGTAAATTAAGCTTTCTGCCTGCAGTGCTACCAAATAATTTCTCTGAATCTTTAATTGCTGTACAAATTCTCTTTTGAATAAAAACATTGTTAAAACAAATTCTTGATGGTTATGAGCGTGATCTTAAGACAAGGAATTAGTCTGTAATTAATGATCAATTATCATTAAGGAGCTGTAGAAATTAGAGGAAATATAAATTTTAACAAAGGATGTTAAAGTATTTTACATAAAAGACTAGTATATTATGGAATGCTGAGAGGAGAATAAATTAATATGTTACTAACGCAATTTACACAGTGAATGTAATGCCTTCAGGCTATTTTTTCCCTACTATTAAGTGTGTCATTACGGCTTTCAACCATACTCCTCCAGTTAATGTTACTAAATTCCAATTTAACTTGTTTAATCTGGAGAACAAGGTGATCTATTATGATTATTATTTTTATGTACAGAGCTTTCTATTCTTGAAACCATAAAACTAATAAATATCTATCAGGTTTTGTATATTTAAGGTCAAGTAAAAAAAAAATAGAGTTTCTTGCCTGTAAGATTTATTTTTTAAATTAACAAGGATCAGACGCTTTTTTGTTGTCATTTAATTTTTAATGAAGTCGTTATACTGGTAACAAAACCGAGTATCATCTACACAAATCAACCTAAACCAGGACTCGAATCCGTGACCTTTATGGAAAACATCATATTTGAAAATAAAATTATAAAAATTGTCACTATTTTATTATTTCTTTTATTCCATCATCTAAAAAGAAATTGGACTGTTCAAAAAAAAATAAATAAATTTCAATCGATCAATTTATGCAAGAATAATTCCTACCAAGGGAAAGATAAATACAGAAAGTACATAAAACACAAAAAGTGCACAATAAAATTAAACAGAACACAAAACAAACCCACATCTAGAATTAACCATGAACCAAATTAAAAGGTTTTGTTAAATTAATGATTATTCTTATTATAAAAGCAATTCTTATTTTATTGTATTTATCTTTAATATGATACAAAATTTGAGTTAAAAAAAATAAATTAATACAATGAAAATGACATTAAATTTGTGAGCAAAACTTACATGGTGTTTCCGGCTCTGGAGTTGTTGGCGCTAACGTAGGCTCTAGATGTAAGTTACAGTAACTTCTATCGTTACAGCAATGCATTTCCCGCGGAATGGAATGGTCCGTTTTGGAACCAGACTGACATTGCATATACCCCGTTTCTCCTGAGCCTAGACATCCCATAGACCTGAAATCAACAATGATGACAATAACCATACATAAGAGTGTCGGCAATAAACAGTTTCTAGCATTGCCATTTTTTAAAATGTTAAAAATTTTGAAAGTCGTATTAAAATACATTGCACTACACACGATAATGACACGACATATCATCGCGTCGTTTATATTCTTCAACACCGAACACATTTTTATTGTGTCGTTAATGTAGTNNCCTCGAGGGGGGGGGGGACGCGGGGGACTTTGGTGCATATTATTTAGTTTTATATCCAGATAAATATTAAGGCCAAGTTAAAAAAGAAGTAGTTTCTCGTCCTTATATTTTGAATAAAATTGAAATAAGGGCACATTTTTTTTTTTTTTACTCTGAGATGGCAAATCTACATTCAAAGCAAATAAAAGGCCCAACCACGAATGATGGAGAAGAACTTTAAGAAAATAAAAAAATAAATACAAAATTGGTGAGGCAGAAAAATCGATGCGCAAGGGGATGAGAAACTATAATTTTTTTTATTTGGCATAATATATACAATGGTAAATATTGCCAATCATGGATTGCAAAAAAAAAAAAAAAAACCTCATCAAATTCTCCCAGTGTAATGAAATATCTTTTTCTATCAATGTTTTAAGTGACCTACTTGATTGGGATTTTATTCCCCTCACTACCTTCTTCGTATGCTTGGACATGAGTAAAACAATAGCCGCCTGGTTTTGGTGTGCATGTTTCGTTATGAGCATGCTCAGGACAGTGTTCCGTACATGCGCAGATCAGCTCACCGAATACATTCACTGAAAAGAAAAATACAAAAAAAAAACCTTGTAAATAAAAAATGATTGAACTGAAATCATTATGTTATCAATAAATTTTTCATAAACAAATGATAATTGTTGTAGTGTATGCATATACCCTGTACAGTAGTTGCTACCAGGTTAAGCTAGGTTGTAATTACTAGGTGAAGCCAGATGCATAATGCAGTTACTAAGATAAACCAGGTTTCAATAAAACATTAATGCACAGTAAGTAGAGCAGGTTAAAAATGACTTCAAAATGAATTTAACTATTAATTAAGCTGCAAAATGCTGCATAAAATCTATGAACACTTTACATTTTAAAGAAATAGCAGTTGAAACTGATAATGGCTGGGTTTAAACAGAAAAGCAGTTATATTTGCAAAATCTGTTTTTATTTGGATCTGTGTTTTTGTATGGCAGGGCTGTTTTCTTATCTGGGTCTGTTTTTGTTTTCAAAATCTCTGTTTTCATATACCTAGATTCCAGTTTCAATATTCCATATCAAAAACAGAAACAATGTCATTCGAAGACAAAGACCTAGCCAAGGTCTGTGCTTTCAAGCAAGTTTCGGGTCTTGAATCTCAGGTCTCGGTTTTCGAGGACTTTTGTTTTTAAAACATCCTCGATTATTAAAGGCAGCTCAGAAATATTGGGATAGAATTCTTAGCTTACGTACTGCAGACTTAAGTATAGGCCTACAAACTAGGACGTCTACAAAGACGGGAGTTTCATAAATACATGTTATTGTACCGGTAAACAAAAATATAAACTTATTTTAATAAACAAAATAAGTTTAATTCAAATATTGAATTATATTCTGCAAGTTTCTTTAAGTGAACAGAGACAGTAAAATACACTAAAATTCAAACCAAAACTAAGTCTGTAAAGCGAAACATTCTGTTAAAGGTCAATGTGCTATATGTGGAGAATAAGTCACTCTATTTCCTACTAACTGTACGCCTAGGAATTTCTTTTTGTGTCATTATATCCACAGTATTGGAAACATTCAGCCCTTGGGATCGAAAAATCCCTTTTGGAACTCCCATTGCATGTGAACAACCAAAAGGAAAACACTCATAAAACATTGTGTATACACACGCACAAACCCACAACCAAAATTATACTATCACTTGCTTTAAGAACTCAATGTCTGATTCTTACCACACATGAAATTGGACGCTTGATAATATCTGAGTGTTTATTGACCCATCTTCAAGCTAAAGGACAGAGGAGCTAAACAAAATAAATATTTCTTAAAGAACAGTAAACACGGAAGCCATGATGAGAGATTTTGTTCTATTTTCACACCTATTCGAAGGCTAATCTCACCATGTCCTCACCTATCAAGCTAGGCCTAGGTCACCGCCATACAGCTACATCAACATTCTTTGCTGATGCTTTTTTTCGCGGCGCAACCCTGGGTTGTCAGATACTTTCATCTTTCTAGAAATTGAATTTGGCACCCAACCAATACCCAGGAAACTGACAACTTCTCATCTGAAAACTTATTAAATCAAGCTGAGCGTAATGCACAGTATATAATGAGAACACGTTGAGCTATGGCCTCTAGAATTAGGCCACAGAATGATAAACTACATTTACGGCCAAGCAATAAAAAAAATAACGTTCCTTACTCAAGAGGAGGATGATTTCACTTAATGTTCTTTCTTATCCCCCAAAAAGATGGCCACTTCAACCATAAATTGGTCTCATTTTTGGTGGGATAATTCGGCTTTCGTTAGTTGAGTCCTACTGTCCTGCCAAGCCCCTTTTGACAAAATGATTAAACAAAATATTGTATGGTATAACTTTGTTTGAGTTGTATATACCTCCAACCTCCCCACTTGTCTGACTTTTTAATTACACGTGTCCCTTTCTAGATCAACATGTCCAACTGTCTGCATGAGTAAAAAAATACCCAAAAATCCTAACTGCATTTAAAATTCCCAGTTCAGGTTCCAGTCCAATGAACCTTTCCGCTAAGCCCCGCCCCCCCCCCCCTTTGGATATTGTTGCTAATTCCCCCACAAAATGACAGTGTTAAAACATACGTGAACATGTGTGCTTGTCAGATGTACACGCATTCATAGCGCTGTTCTGATTGGTCAGTTATTAAGATTGATTGAAACTCCGGAAACGTCTATTAAACCCCCAGGCACAGGTACATTGAGATATGCACACTAGCACTATGGAGACCCAAATTATCTGTACGTCTTGACTAGTGCCTTGCTTTTGCGCAGGTCCCATGGCGGGGGTTTAGAATTGACATATGAATAAAAATGTTTGCATTACAGAATGAAATTTCTGTGAGTATTGACTTAAAAACAGGAGGTTCCCCCGAAAAAAAGGGGGAGGATGGCAATGGGAACCATATTTATATATCAATTTGGCCTTCTACATTATTGTAACCATAAGCAGTATAGTACACTTTGCTATCACTGAATTTATTAGACACTCTTCCCAAACAGTATGGATCCAAAGATAAGCAGTGAACACAACCAATCCCTCTGTATTAGGCTTAAATTCAGATCAAAAGCACTACTGTGCAGTAATACTTATGCTTAAATTGCAAACCATGTGTTAATCAGCGATCACGCAAATACCTGTACAACAAAGAAATCACACATCTAAAATATCTTTAAATCTCATTTTAAAGTGATTCTCATAAAGTACTGTCATCTGCAAGGATCTTGAAGATAATATTTTAAGTTCGGACAGTTTGTAGGAGTTTAAAAGATGGTACAAACAAGGAAGAACTGTAAAGGAAATTAAAAGCGGTAATAAATTATAACTCTTTAATCACCCTCAAGGTTTATCAAGAGAATGCTTTGGCCTATTGTCTTATGTAAAATCAATTAAAACAGTTAATTGCTCATAAAGGAAGTTATAAACTTTCCAAGAAGAAATCTGAATAATGATGCATTGTTGATTTAGGCCAATTAAAAAAAAATATTAGTTTCTTGTCCCCTCGCGCATCCATTTTTTCTGCCTCAACAATATTTTAAAATTTTTTTTATTCTCTTTAACTTAAGAAATGTACGAAAATCTGGTTAGCTCCTAGAAGTAAAACTCCTCTCTTGATTGTTCGTGGTTTGGGGATATATGTGATATATGAATCATGTCTAGTGCTTCTTTTATTTGCTTTCATTGGTACTTTCATTCTCTTTTTTTTAAATATTAGGATGAGAAATTACTTTTCCTACAATATGAAACATTCTAAAGCCCATGTACACACTATCAAACAACTGTCCGGCCGTCCCATGGCAAACAACACATTCTGCTATTATTATATTTTTGTTAAGTTACGTTGTTTTACCTTGGAACAGCCATGTTGTACTGTATACCTGTGTAGTCATGATGTGCCTATATATGGTCATGATGTGATGTCATCATAACCATATTTAGGCATGTCACATGTTTTTGTCAAATAAAATTTGACAGTCTGGCCAGGACTTTAAATTCCGTAAATTTTAAGGGTCTCATTTATGCATGGTATTTAATAGGCATATTGTGTTAATTAGTGATAGAATAGGCCTGTTATTCAAACTATCTTTTAATTGAGAGGTCATATTAATTTAGTAGAAAGCTAGTGTTAATAATTAGAAGTACAAAAGCCTAAAGCTTTCTAGATTAAAATGTAGTTTACCAGAGATAGAGGAACACTAATGCATCTAAAAAATAATAATAATAATTAAGATTATTTTTATCATACAGAATATTAAATATATCTTTTTTATTCATTACCATTTTAGTCAAAAAATTCTAAAATACATTTTATTTTACATTTTGAGGGTTTGATTTGTTTTTATTGCCACAAAGACTTACAAACACAACAAAACTGGGCAAGTTGCCAGGAAAAAAAATAGCACACTCAATTATTATGACGTTGTCTTTGTTCCTCTCTCACACAGATGCGAATGTTTTGGCTAACTATTCAAATTGTAATGTTTTATATTTTAAAATTAATGTTTTGTTTACAGTTTTTTTTATCATGCCAATCAAATCATATTATAAAAAAAATATATATCATTATTCTAATTTAGGTTGTTTATTATGGGATACACTTTTATCTTGATATGTACAGTATTGCAAGTCCAAAATACTGTAACTGGTTTTGGTAAACTTAAAAAAAAAAATTGGTCAATTAAATTATAAATATTTCAAATTTCATCATCACAACTATAATATTTTTATGTACTACATTACTTCTTTGTATAGGATTTGGCTGAACATGCACTTAAAATTCATTTGACATCGCCCATCTTGCTTTACGCTTCCATTAATATCCGTAAAGAGCGCACTTTCCAATGCGTTAACTAACAACAATACCCTTCCTTCCATAGCATTAAACATAATTGTACTAGGCCAACTGAGTGCGGACAGTAATATCGCTAGTGTAAAATCAAAATTATAATAACAATTGCTAATGGTATGAAACTGGTCAGGCTAGCCATACGAGACACTACCTACTGAATTATGATAGAAAGCTTCTCCACTGACATACTGTTTACAGTGAGCGTCTTCTATTACAAACCTTCATGTTACCACTGACTCAATAATGAGAATCTCGTAAAAACGTCAGAAAAATATGAAACTTAGATAACAATTAATTGAATTGTCGAAAATATTACAGAACTTGTGAAGTCAATTAAGAGGACAAGATTTATTAATAAGGATTTTATTACCATATTAATTGACAATAAACTCAAATTAAATAAAACCATTTTATGTCTATAATAGCCAATGGCTACTTTCATAGTACTAACAAAATTGGACATTACTGTTATAATTCTGTTTGATGACGTCATGAAATTTTTCTTAAAACAAGCAGATTTTTTTTCCCATTAAGGTTCTATTATGTATCAACAACAGCATAGCCTATTCTAATCACTCGCCTAGCCCTCTGCCACTGTCCATGCTTCCCACTAGAAATTTACTAAGCAAAATATTACACTTGCATACATTAGTTATACAGTAAATCCCCCCCACTTATCACC